GATGTGAGTTTCAGATGTTTTGGATTTTGATATGTAATGACTTGTTAAATGATCTTATTCATCTGATTTGGTTTGGAGATCAGTTTGAGTGTTTTGAGATGATATGTGAATCAATATAACCAGTAATATAAAACATGAGGAGCTGTCAGCCCCTTTGATTTTGTCAAAGTAGCTCTCAGGATGACAAAGTGCTTTAATGATAAAAGGCAATATCACACAATTCAGTGAAACCTACACGGTATGTATTCGTGTAGGTAAAATGTTTGCCTGGTACTACTCAATGCTGCAGACATTTCTTTGCACCTTCAAAAGAGAAGCTTCAATCAAATCAAAGCAAATCATTTTTTGCCCCCATTCACACAAGAATTGTATGTAATTACAGACAATATCTGAAGAGGGCGGCTGATCTGAAGCAGAGCCTCACCTTACGAATACCACGGGTCCTGTTCCAGACAAAGTCATACCAGTCGCGGTAGTTGTCCTGGCCCTGGTCCATGATCTGAGTCACCAGGTAGTCCATGGTCCTGCTGAGCACAGGCAGAGGGCGCAACTCAAAGGGCAGGGGCTCCTCCTGGTCGGCCGAGGAGCGACTGTACTCCTTGATGGCTGCTGCGTGATCCACCTGGTTGGGGACAGAAGGTGATAGTTTCATTTTTTGTCCACGGTGTCCCTCCTGTCTTCAGAGTACCTACAAGCTCCCATTTGCAGAAGCAGCTACTTTATCCTTTAAGCTACAATATCTATTTACATATTCCTTATGCCTGGAGAACAGACAAACTTCAATGTGATCTTATACCACAAATTTATTTGGCAGGGGAGTAAAGGAAGAATACCAGAGACATGATGTAACACCTCACTGTCCTATCTCAGCTGAAAAAGGCAGATATTCTTCAGTCTGAATGTGAGACATAAACTTTAAGAACATTACCATCTCAGTGTCTGGGAAGACCTCGAATACGCTGAGCTGGTTCCGTGTCTCTCTCATGTACCTCTCCTTCTCTGGACACATGTCAGGACACGTCCCCACAAACACCTTAGACAGGTCCAGGTCCGTCCGCTTTGGCCGACCTGTGCCACACAAATTAAAATGACTCTCGTGTTTTTTTTTTTAGCCACGTTAAAAGGCTGCATTAGACTGTTGTGAGATGTAGCATCACCTTGACGCAGGACCTTGTCTCTCTGCTCCAGGAGGCGGTACTTGTCCTCAGCAGTCTCTGCCAATTGACCAATGAGGTGGAGAAGGGAGGAGGGGACTGGGCGCTCTGAGCTCTGGGACTCCGTGCTGCTCTCTTTCTGGGGTTCAGTGTCTGACTGCAGACCCTTGACCAGTGGTGGCTTCTTCACTGGAGAGCTGGCACAAAGAAGTACACATGTTAGAGAACCACAGCACTGCAGCAACTTTCTTACCTCCGTTTAGCACGTCAATTGGTCTGGACCAAGTACATGAAAGCATTACAACTAAAGTTAACTCCAAAACCCTGCAATAATAACAAACACTTTCATACTGGTGTGGTGTTACCTGCGGCTGAAGGCCACTGTGCTGCTAACTGCAGGAGCTCTGAGTGCAGGTCTTCTGAGAGGGGAGGAGGCAGCCTTGGGCTCTGTGTCCTCCTGGCTTTCTTGCTCTGCCTCCTCCTTTCCTGCTGCAGCTCTGCTCCCTTTCTCCCCCGGACCTAAACACACACACACACACACACACACACACACACACACACACACACACAGTTAATTGCTGCAATGAATTAAAGATGATATGAAAGTGCTCAGGACTCTTTACATAAGTGTAAATCTAAGTCCTTGTTTTCCATAGTTAGTTTTACTTGTAGGGCTGTATTAAATACATCGTATTTACTTTGCTTCTTTCTCTGCCACAAGAGGAGGAGTTCATGTCGATGCAGGACTTTGCCTTTCTTCTTGGCCTTTGCTGCTGATGCCTGAAAGAAAAAGAAAATGATCAACATCTTTGGCCTGTCGCAAAAAGCAGGTTAAGTGGGTTAGCTAGCTAACTTTTGGTGTTATCCTTAGTGTTTCAGTGTCACAAAGCAACTGAGCTCCATAGATGATGCCACAAACCAAACCTGCAAGTAGTAGTTTTTTTTTTCAAACTTGTTGAAGTTCAAAACATGAGCAAAGCAGCTTTAATACTGTTCTTCTCGCAAATAGCTGGCCTGGTACATAGCTGACACTATGTGTAACAAATAAAAATAAAAGTGTTCTAATAAAACAAAGCCAGCTGAGGACTACATTGGGAGAATGGTTTGCATGAAGAGGCTGGATAATTCAACATAGCCATAGAGTAAAGTGAACTTGTTCTAGTAAGGACGAGTATGATGAATGTTACTCACATGGTCGTCAAAGTGGACTATAGCCAGGTTCTTGCCAGGCCGACACAACACCTTAGAAACTTTGCCGAAACGAGCAAAGTGCTTCGTGAGTGTGTCCTTTTTGTTGAGGGCTGCAGGCAGTTCCCTGCACTGGATGGTGGTGCAGTCAGTAGGAGACATGCCACCGAGGCTGTCCGAGCTCTCCCTGCGTACGCCACGTTTCACAGGGGTTACGGTTTCAAGCTTTGGGTCAGGGGGTTTTGCTGCATCTGGATAAGGATAATGGGTAATAGGCAAAGGATATGATGAGCATATTCTAATACACTTCTTTATTTATTGTACTTGGAATTCAGCAAGATGAAGATTTCTATCTGGGTTTCTTCATCAAAACCAAAATTATTGTGTTTTTCACAGAAGAAAAGAGAAACAAAATGAATATATGTGTATTAGATGCTGCTCACAAATAAGTATCACAAATAAAATTCAAAAAAACTAATTTGAAGTTTTTTTTTTTTATTAGGTGTGGAGAACTTGTAACTAGCCTCTTCAATTCAGCAGTTTAGAGTATGTCATTAAAAACTGAAAAAAAAAAAAATCACTGATAAACTGGTTAATCAAAGGCAAATTTGAAGTAAAGTCTAAGAAACTGGTTCCTAGTCATTTAGGATACTCTCCACTATACAACAGTTGCTTGTCATGGTGCAAATAAGCTTAAAAAAATTCATAAACAAAACTTGATGCAAAAGACAGATAACATAATGTGTATGATTTGTGCATCTCACCTAACTCCTCAGCTTTTTCCAGCACTTCCCTGGTGAGTGTTTGTACAGCGGGTGGTGTAGCAGTCAGATCGTCACCCTGCCCTTGGACATCTTCCCCCCCTGTCTCGTCCCACTTCGATCCCTGCTCCTTTGTGGCCTCTCGCCTTACTGGGTTAGTGCCGTCTCTACGAAGACCACTCAGTGCCCTACTGAATAAGCTTCCCGGTGGGCCACGGGACCTCATTAGGGGCCTCTTTGGGGGGTGTCTTGGTGAATCTGTTTCTGCTGAAACATCCTCCTCAGTGGCAGGCTTCTCTGGGCCACTGCTGGGCGTCGCTGGATCGTCCTTGCGCTTGGTGCCTTTGCCAAATCGTGCAAATATATTTGTATCTGCTAGGGCCTCAAGGTTACTCCTTTTCTCATCTGTGCTGGTCTCTGCTTGACCTTTAGTTTCAGGATAAGGCGGGGGCTGGCCAAAATTAGTTCCTCCAAAAAGGGATGTTGTCTGGGGTAGGGGGGCTTTGGCTGTAAAGCTGAAAGAAGATGGGGTGGTGGGCTGGGTGGTGGATGCCTTAGTGCTGGAGCTGGAGAGAGGGGCTGGCTGGGAAAAGGTGAACTGCAAAGTGTTTGCAGGACCGCCACTATTGCTAGTTGTTGGTGGATTGTTTAGAGCAGGGATGGAGGGGGCTGCAGCAGGCTGTGAGAAGCTAAAGCCCAGCGACCCCGGTTTATCACCTGTCAACAGGGAGAAGCCAGCGGCTGTGCTGCTGTTACTCATGGTGCTGGAGCTTGTCTGGTTCCCACTGCTGCCAAAAGGTGAACTGGACATTGAAGTAGTTTGTGGATTAGCAGGCTCAGGGCTGGCACTGAAGATGGGTTTGAAAAGTGCCTCATTGGCCGGCTTGAAACTGAATTCAGATGGCGCAAAAGCTCGGCTCTGGGTCACACTCTGAGCTGTGCCAAATGCACTGGTGGTGACACTGGTAGACGATGGCTGTCCAAATGCAGGCTGTCCAAATCCCAGTGGCTGAGGTTGCCCTACGACAGTGGTGGATCCAGAAGCCATCTGGGGGTTTCCGAACCCAGAGGGCTGTTGGCCAAATCCTGGGGCCTGCCCAAATGCAGAAGTCTGCCCGAATGCAGGTGTCTGCCCAAAGACTGAACTCTGGTTTGGTCCACTAGTCTGTCCAAAAGCTGGTGCTGTGCCTCTCCCAAAGCCTGAGCTGCTCATTCCTAATGACGGCTGTCCAAACGCTGGAGCTTGGCTTATTGTGGGCTGTGCAGAAGACTGTCCAAAGGCTGGGGCCTGTCCAAACATGGTATTTCCATGAGGTGTGGGCTGATTTAAGACCGATGGCTGTCCAAACGCTGATGGTTGAAAAAATCCCATAGTTGGGGGCTGATTGCTTGAACTTTGTTGTCCAAACGTCTGGAACAAACCTGTTTTCATAGTGTTGCTTGGGGCTTGGAAAGCTCCACCTTGTGGACTGCCGAACGGATTGGGTGGATTCATGGCGCAAATATTATCTGATGTTTAGTCCTCGGTTATTTGTTGAAGGGAACGTTTCTCATCCACACATTCAAGCAGAATAACTCTGTGACACTTTTCCAGCCTCCCAAGTTCTTCGCTGTAACACCCTATCACGTTAAAAGTCAAGAAAACATTATGAACACAGGAACGAATAAAAATACATGGCTCGACCGCTAGCATAAGCTAACAATACAAACATTGTGGAAGTTAACTGTCGCTTAGCTTTTACATTGCCCTTAAAGACGCAATTGACAAAAAACTCTTAACACTATACAAAACTATGCAACTTAGATACAAAAAAACTCACCTTTCACAGTTAGCGTTTGCTATGTTGATTTTTTGGTTCAGTTTAAACATGTTCCCACATCCGCTTCCCGTCCGACAATTTTTTTGGTCCCCCGTTCAATGCTAAACTCCGTTCCGCGATTGTCAACGTCGACTGATTCATTGTTCGAAGAGGTTTTGCACCGGCAAGCTATCGTTTTCCTTCAATGACAGAAACTTTAAATTTTTTCTTAAATACATTAACATATCCACATAAGTCAGAGAAAGCTTACATTATCGGTTTCGGGGAACTTTATGTTGAGACTGCCGGGACGTGTCACCTTGAATTCTGCCTGCCTGGAATGGTTGAGCATCGCGGCTAACGTAAAGCTAACCAACGTTTTCCCCTAAACCTACCGGTACGGAATTAATTGTACCTGGCCGTCGTCGGAGGTGGGTTGGATTTAATGTAAACCTATGTCTGAAGATCTTTCAATAACTGTTTTGTCTTTTTACGCGGAGTTTTAAAATGGGAGTAGTACTAAGGAACCTCCAAAAGGTGGTGCCTCTTCGCCGCGCCAGACTACGCAAGGATGTTGACACACTGAGGCACATCCTGGGCATCCAGAAATTTGATCTGGGAATTATCTGCGTGGATAACTACAGGATTCAGAAAATTAATCACATCTACAGAAAGAAAAATGTGCCGACGGATGTACTCTCATTTCCATTCTACGAGGTAAATTTAACTGCAAACCAAAATATGACTAACCATATTAATTCACTGACTTCCAAATGCTTCTGGTAAGTGTGATTATCTTTTTTTTAGGACCTAAGACCAGGGAAGATGCCTTGTCCTCTTCATAGAGATGAACTAAACCTCGGGGACATTTTCTTGGGAGTCGAGTTTTTGATGAAACAGTGTCAAGAGGAATCTCTAGATCTGCATGGTGCTCTTACTGTGGGTCACTGCAGGCTGGACAATATATTTTATTATATCTACATAAACATTTGTCAACCTTCAGAAAAATGATGGTAGTAAAAACAATATATTTAACAGTAATTCAGGCCTTAAACTGTCACTTCCACTATCCATGTATGCCTGTGCTAACCTGTCCCTCTTTGCCTGTGACTAGGTTAACCTCATTAGCTGGTGTTGATTAATTGTTGCACTCTTTTCCTCATGTTTCAGGCTGTCACTGCACATGGGATCTGTCACCTGTTGGGCTACAGGCATGAGACAGAGGAAGAATGGGCTGAGGTTGGTATGGAAAACCATAATGTGAAAAACACAGTTAAAGGATCAGTTCAGCCAAACTACAAAGTAACATTTTCTGCATTTACTGCAACTTGTACTGTGTATCCATGCAGATAATTTAGGTTTTATGAGAATTTACATTGAATCAGTGAAGTCTTCTCATCTTATATGAGATGATATGAGATTTAGCTTTTCTCTGAGCATTGAAAAATTTAATGTAAAAAATTATCAACAAAATGTATTTCTAGACAGAATCTATGTTACTCTTGATAATCCACTGAACATACTCTCATAAATTTTTATAGGGAAATTTTCTTCATTTTTTCCAAGGAAACTCTTTATACTGAGGTCTGTGGGTTAGTCACAGTAATGGGAACTGTTTTAAGAGACAGACTTGCTCTTGAATCATTCAGATGTAATTTTTAAAGCTGATACGAAATTCCAAATTTCCCATTGTGTTGTGGAGAGAACCATGCTAGAGGTAATTAAAGAAATGTTTTTGAAATTTTGGTGAACTGGCCCTTTAACTGGCAAAAAAAAGTATTTCTGAAATGCACCCCATAATAAAAATGACAACATGTCTAAATGACTCTGCTCATATAATACTGATTATATGCACCTTAATCACCACAAACTGAGGAGTTATTGCATTTTAATTTGCTTGCAGATGCTGCAGAGGGAAAGCTACATTCTAAGTGAGTACAACAGACTCACTGGGCGACATCTCGAGCCACTTATGAAGAGATGCAATCAAGACAGGTGACAGTGACTGTCACCTGCTACCTGTACAGCTAAACACTGCACTAAGTGTACTGTGGTGCTTGATATTGTTTGTACTCTGTCCTGTAACAAGTTTGACTTGACCTATCATAATTGATTAACTAATTTAACAGATTTGTTATATTCACAACCAATGTTTGCAGCAACTGTTTTATGAAGGACTTCATACATGCAGCTACTGATTGTGTGTGGGCATCCTGAAACACTGGATTCAAGTGTTATTAAAGTTTTAAACACCAAATTAAAAAGTCTGTGCACTTTCACCGTAATATTTTATTAAAATCTGCTTTAGGAAGAGTCAGTTGTGTATGAAGGGTAGAAAAAAGCAGTTCATTCTTACTTCACAAATACATTTTACCCTCTTTACACTGCTGCATTTGGGACAGGATATTCAGGAAGGCGCCATGTTTCAGACATGTAAATTCATTAAAAAAAAAAAAAAAAAAAAATTCTGAATAAAGTTTGTCCATGGTGCAACAGAAAACTTTAGTTCCAGGAAGTCAGCTAATAATACTGGACATTTCCTTAAAACTTAACAATATAGGGCTGGGTATTCAAGAATATGAATCAGTCCATACAGATTATTTACTCATGTTTTCTGCTATATCATGTAAGTTTTCTTCTGCTTCTGTGGGAGATTGAGAAAATAATTGTGGTCTGAATATGTCCAGCAGACACAATGTTTCATTGCTGCACATTAGTCATGACATACTTCAATGTGATTTTTTCTTTACAGTGGTAACAAAAAGAAAGAGCTGTACAACCAGTGTCTGGTATTAAAATCATTACAGAATAACAAAATACTCCCAATTTCTTCAGTCTATATTCAAGCGCATCTGATAGGAACTAGTTCAACAGGGTTAGCAGAGTTCTATGGTGTTAAGTACTGAATACTGGCCTTAACGATGATGAAATAAGACATTACACTGTAGCTAGCTTTCCTGGTGGTCTAGTAGTAATGACTTCTATTTTCCATGGTGTATGCATGGGATAATTAAGATTCGTCAACCCTAGACTGCAATAAATAGAAAAATCTGTTGGCTTTTTATAGAGAAAAATCTGACTTACACACTGTTGAGGTTTGACAAACATATTCAAAAACAAAGCTGTGCAACTTTCAAAGTAAAGCTTGTATACATATTTATAAAAGTTTTCTTGGGAGGCACAAGGTCAAAACCGGCGGGGTTTACTGAGAAAAGCTCAGTCAAAACAGGCCATGTTACTACTGAGCTCTATGATTTCTTTTTAGAGCTGTAAAATATGGAGACAGCCACACACACACATATTAGCTTATAGGTCAAGCACAAAAAGAAACCAGGAAAACATCCACACACTCTGACAGAAAGCTGATTTGAATTGGCCAATCTGTGCCAGAACATAAATATTGCACCAAATGTACCCGCTAAATACAACAACCCTTTAACTCTATAATAGCTTATACTCCAACATAGAATATATCTTTATTTAGTTTATATGGGAAATAAAGGGTCTGCAAACATACAATCCATGAAGCACCAGTAGCATCTGGTGTTTGATAGTTGCTTTTAAGTCAAAGTCTGAATGAACGGCATTAAAGTTTAAAGAAGTGTATCAAGAAACAAACAAAGAAAATAACTTCTACAAAACAGTTGTTTGATAAAAGCAAAGAAAAACTCCAGCCCCAAAAACATGGAGGCAAAATTTGATCCACTGAACATTTTAACTGCATTTCTGGTATCTTAGAGTCTTGACAGATTAGCACGTGTGTTGGCATTTACAGGTGCTAATTGAGCCTGGCATTTAGTGATCTTAAGAGTAGAAGTGCCTGAAGACGACCAAAGAAGGACGGCAATCAGTAGTACTCAAGGTTGTTCAAAGGAGAGCTCCATCTAACAGAGTGCGTGTGGATGGTTGTCCAAAGACGTAGTGTTCAGAGAGGCTGCAGGACATTCCTTCCTGCCTCTGAAGTGCTGCTGGCTCCAGCTCTCTCCATCTCCGACAGCTGTTCAAACACATCCCTGAGGACAAGATAACGTGTGAAAAAAAGATCTTAGGCCAATTCATGTAGTGCCCTCGATGATGAACGCAACCAAACAGACAGTCCTACAAAACCAGCCACGCACCAAAATCTCTGAATATTTTTGCATTGCACATTAAAAAATGAGCAATGCATGTCATGCTAGTTACGAGTTGTTTGAGACATCCATCTGGTTGTTCTGCCAACTCACTTGTGCATGTAGAAGAAGATGTATCCACTACGGTCGCGGTCCCGCTGGACGGCTGCTTCCTGTGTGCGTGACACGTCCAGGTCATTGTAGGTCAGCCAGGACTGCTTCTTCATGTCGTACACGTCACTGATGTAGTGGCCTGGCGTGGAAAACAAACAAAGGTCATGTGTGGAAACTCAAGTGAGGACAGGTAGTGATGTGCCTGTTGTGGACGTGGTGTCATTCTGACCAAACACAAAACCAGATGATTTCTCTGGCATGCTAAATGTTGTGCAGGAAACAGGTATGGCACTGAATCTCTATCACCTGATCAAACAACTTATACTATAGTTGAAACTGTGGTAATGCTCCTTATTGAGGTATAGTTGTACAAAGCTGTAAATATCAGGTCAGGGAATGTACAACATGACATGCCAAGTCTTTGTATTACACTATATGAAACCATTGAGACCCTATATTAAAATCAATTAAATACTGTAATCTAGGTTTCGGCATGCCCAGTCATGGCAAAAATGTTTAGCTCTAATCTAGGTAGGCTAAGAGTGACAGTTCTGTCTTCCTAACACACACAAAATCTGGCACTGTGCTGGATAGGATATGAGGACACCCACTTATTAGTTCTTCCGCTTTGTAGCACAGTTGGCAAATCAGTAAAATCATGAAGTGTAATCTTTTGTCATAAAAAGCTGTATCCTCTCTGTCTGCCATGTGACACATTCAGAGAATCTTATAAACATTCAAGTCTGACATCTTTATTGGTTTTGATTTGCTTTTTGCAAACAAGTAACTGAAAACAACTCCTGAGCAGTAGTTTGGATAAATGTTGACAGAGGATTCATCTACATTAGGACAGATTAGATACAAACACAAACAAGGGCTCACCAGAGGAGGAGCTGCTCCCAATGTGACTGACAACACTGATGAGTCTGAAAGAGTTGGCCAAGTCTCCGCTCTGTAGATTAGAGGGTTTATAAGCATGTTACTATGAATGAAAGCAGCTCAGTGAATCCAGTGCACACTGTAGATCAACAGTGCAGTGAGATACGTTTAGTGGAAATGTTTAGGCAGAATTTTATACGAGGACTTTTACTTCAATGTTTGCAGAGCACAACAGTTACTTTTCAATGTGTTGTGGATTCATTGTGTGGCAGCAGGATGGTTAGTACCTCAGCGTTCCTCTTCAGGTTTTCAGCCTCGGCTTCAGTGTAATCCATGTCCAGCACGTCCTCGTTGCCAGAATCATCATCTGAGCACAGCAGCTCAGGCAGGGAATTGTTAAACTCTGTTGGGTGAGAAACAGATATTGGTACAGGTCTAACAGTTTCATAGCACTGTGAGTCTGATTTAACTTTCTCTGTCAATGCTCTGAGCACTTCATTGAGAACATGTCTGATAAAAACTGCAACTGGCACTGTTAAGTTTGGCTTTGCACTGGTGTCAGTCTGGGGTCTTGTTTCTGGAAAAAGGTCAATACGAAAAAACTGCACTCAATTTGTGAGAAGATTGATTCTCCAAACAGTCGATCAGAGATTTTTCTCACTGGCTGCCTCCACCTCTACTAAATCAATGGTACAGAGCCAAAGATGCACAATGACAGCCAAGCAAATGTTTGCTTGAGCGAGTGTCAGGAGCTCATGAGTTTCAACATCCATACAATTCTGGTCGATACCTTGCAAGCTGAGCTCAGTGGCCCTCTTCAGATCATCATCCTCTCTCATCTCTTGGGCCTCCTGTATGGGGTGAGGTAGGACAAAGTGTTACATCAGTGAGACTCGCTGGAAGAAATTTCAACAATGCATTCTCACGCAGGTCTCTTGGTATTTGATGTTCACCTGCTCACTAAGTACATGCTTCAGTCAGATCTACTATATTTTGATATGTGTTATTATATTGTGAAGTCTGTATAATATAGTCCTGTAATAAAGTATGAAGGCGCAGAGCTATTGTTACTTTGTTTAAGGAAACCCCTGCAAATGTCACATGGACGTGATCTTACATGCTCCTGAAGGCTCTGGGCCAGAGCCTGCTGCAGCTCCTGTTCCTCCCTCTCCTGATCCAGACTGTACTGCTGAACCCAGTCCAGCTCACCCTGCTGCTGCACACCCTCTGGAGTCTGGTTCTCCTTGTTCTCATCCATGGTCAAGTCCAAGGAATCCAGCACATCTACACAAGATCAGAATGTACTCATGTCAATTAACTCTATACTAAAATACTAGTGAAGTTATTTCCACTTATAAACGAGTTTAATAAAGTTATATTGCTTAAAACATATTCAGATTTCAGACAACCCAGTTTTTGTGTGAATGCAGAAAAGCCACACTGATTTCAAACAGTGTATCCTGGCAGGACAACTGACTGATGCTACATATATTTATACAATCTCTCAAGACAAAAGTAAAAGTTGCCCCCTGTAGAAACCCCATCTATAGATCATCTTGTTCTCCAGATGTTGGGACTACCTGCAGGCTGTTTGTTGTCTGTTTCCATCAGTTCTGTGTGATAGGCCAGGTCATGTGCATCCGTGTCTCCGAATCCTGTGTCTGGGCTGCTGGTTGGTTCATCCTCCAGAGGAGGTGGAGCAGAGAGGCCGGCCTCTTGACGACTCATCTCCAGCACCGCCGCTAGCATTTCATCATCATTTATGCCACTGAAGTCTGCTGAATCTATCGTTGCTCCCCTCTGAAAACCCATCAGACAGTGTCAAAACAGAAACAAGGGAAAAAGGAGGCTGGATTATAACTTCCAAGGCCAGTGAATGCTCACCTCTTCCGGTCGGTCATCGTCGTCAGGCAGACAGCTGCTGAGGCGACGCTTGCGGCTTGCGTTCACCCTTCGGTTAGGCTCCTCTTCAGAGTCAGAGTCCACGAGGATAGAGGTGCAGCTGGAGTTTGCCACTTTCCCTCCAATCCTTCTACACACACAGCCAGTGTTCACAGCCAAGTTCAGTGCTTACATTTACAAGCCAAAAGTAGAAATCAAGTCTGGCACACAAAGTCGTTTTACCAGTTAGGCATTCAATATGTAACAGATCAAACATATGATTCCTAAAAGAAGCTGAGTGCAGAATATGTTACTGCACACTTGGGAGTTCAGAGCTTTACTCAAGAAAACTTAAATTGTGGCCAGTGTGAAATACAAATTTTTTTCTGTTTGACAGCATTATTTGAAAGTCTTGCAGAACCATGAGGACTTACCGGAGTGGTGCTGTAGAAGAGTTGACCAACTGTGACGTCTTGAGTGTTCT